TGGCACGACACAGGAAGTCTGATGCTTCAGAGGTGAGTTGCAAACTGGCCAAACCACTCTTCAAGGCACTATAGCTTGACATAATATTTGCTGCCAGCTTCTTGTTTAAAAATGCCATCAGTTTAACGTTAACTGAAAAAGTAATTATTCTCCAGTTTCACTACACCATTAAGGGGGGAAAAAGCTCATTGAAACTCCAGGAGATGAAATACTATGCTTTCAGGACCTGTTGGAAGCTTTTCAACATTCAGAGCAGAAAACCATAAATTTATTTTTTAAGAAGGAGATTTAGGAACTTTACTGAATGGGAAGTGCGAACATTAATTTAAGTCTTGGGAAAGATATTCTAGTTCAACAAAATTCTCCAAACCTTGCTTGGGTAAGACTGCCTTCCATATTTTCTGAAGACTCAATGCCATTTGCTTCTAGAATGCCATTTGCTTCTTGGTTTATGGACACATCCCCATGAACCATTAAGACTTGTGTACTAAACCAAGAAACTTCAAATTAGTTTGAACTATGAGATGCTACAAATTACACTAATAACTAATCATGCTTTTATATCTGTCACCAAATGTTATCGAGCATATGATAATCCTGGAGATGTGAATATTTTGGAGGTACAGATGAGAGATACTAAAGCAACAGTCAATACAAGAGGTCTCCACCTACAATGACATTCTCAGTTTAACTGCAAAGACAGAATATACCATCTATGTAACAACTGAGGGAAATCTTGCCAATGGATGTGCTGTCACTTGAGTCCATATATATTTGAGGGAAAAGCATAGAGTGGAGAGGTTTTGTAAGGTTATAGATTAGTAGACCATTTTTAAAGACTATGAGGTTTAAAATCAGATACGGATGTAGACTCGGCATCCTATTTGCCAGATAACATTAAACAAGTTAACTAAATAAAGGAGAAATGGAGCCAGAAGTTTTGCAAACTGTAAAAGATTACTCAAATATTAGTTATTCAATGATGACCTCCTGCAGTGATCAGCAGGAAATCGTCATTTTGTGTGAATTACAAACATGTAACTCTACCTCTAATGCCAACATTTTCTTGATATTTTAATGAAACATTTTGCTTCATATATCCCACCACTGTGTACTGCTAAATAAATATAAGACACATGATTTCCCCCATCCCCCCAAAAAAAGAAAAGCATAAAAAACTTACTGGTAGAATGTTGCTAAGTGGATTAATCACATTATTGTTTCATTTGTACAACTGAAAAAATCTTTAACACTCATTTCTCACTTCTTGAAAACTAATTAAATATAGAACCATTTAAGTGTCATTGAAGATAAGACTGTAATCTATTGAAAATTATTATGCTAGAGAATGTTTAATGCTTAGAAAACAGTAAACAGCACGAAACAGTCATTTTATTTGTTAAATGCAATTTTAGTTTTCATTTATTTTGCAGAAAAAAGTGAAAAATAAAGTTTACAATAAGAAAATATATTTTGTAAGATATATGTGTAAATAAGATAAAAGTAAACTCAATAACTTTGCTGCTAGATAAAAAAAAAAAACCTGCCATTTATCTTAGAAGAAAAGAAAGTAACAATCTGAACATCACATTGGCAAACAAGCAACTTTAAATTTTATATCATATAAGCTAAGTATGAGAAGGAAAATAAAAAAAGGAAAATGCAGTTTCCTTGAGGCATTTCTCTTCCTTTGATACATTTTGTTGTTCCATCCCATCTTATTGATGCTAAAAATTTTCTCTGTTGTCTTTTAATAAAAAATTTGATAATTTTTGTCTGATAATGTTTCCAGGAAGAACTGGAAGAAGGAAGGGATGATCATAAAGGAAACTATTCTTCAGATGAATTTCTTTTGATACTCTTATTTTCAAGAGAAAACAGAATTCAACAGAACTTGTCAAAAGATTTACTAAAGTATTATAGTATGAGACTAGTACAGTCAATTCATAAGACATAGTAATTGGTGATACGGTGGCAAGATGCAATAGGATCCCTAATACCTTGTACACTGCAATTTTATCTGATTTTGTTTCTTTCTTTTTTAAGATTTATGTTATTTATTTGGAAGGCAGAGTTATGGGGTGGGGAGGGTAGGTGGCAGAGAGATCTGCCATCCAATGGCTCATTCCCCAAATGGTAGCCAATAGACAGGGTGGGGCCAGGTTGAAGTCAGGATCCAGGAGCTTCTTCCGGGTCTCCCATGTGGGCACCAGGACCCAAGGACTTGGGCCATCTTCCGCTGCTTTCCTAAGAATGTTAACAGGGAGCAGGAATTGAAATGGAGCCACCAGGACTCAAATTGGCACCCACGTGGGATGCTGGCATTGCAGGAGGCAGCTTAACCTGCTACACAAAAATGCTGGCTCCCCATCTGATATTCTAACAAGTTAACTTACAGGATATCACTGTGTTTGCAAAGGTGGCATGAAAATAACAGACAAAAATAAAGAATGCTCAGGGAAAGCCTTTACTATTCAGATCCAATTATTATAATGTCATTATGGACATTACCAAATGTGTCTTACAGGTCACTGCATTTGTGGTATAGATTAGACACTTGGAATAATCACTTCATTTAGGCACCCTTCCCTGGCTTTCATATTTGCTATATGACTCTGGAATATATAATTCAGAGTTGAGTAATATGACCTGCTTTAACCAATAGGATAAGAGGAGATTGACAGTGTGCTGGGCTTCAAGAGAGTTATAATGCGTCCAACAGGCTTTCTGTGCCTTTTTCTACAGCCAGATACTGGGTTCCAGAAGGAAGATACAAGAACTGGGGAGCAGAGTCACTTCCAGGGACTGCCATCCATCCCAGACAGCCAAGCCTTGATTGGCTATATATGTAGATTGGTCAATGAAGGCTAGAACTTGTCTTCCTTATCTTTCCAAATCTACCAACCCTTTAAACTTAGGAGAAATAACCAATGATTATTATCTGAAGCCCTTGAGTTGCAGTGTTTAACACCCAGCATTATCATTTTATTTTACTGTTTTTACAGCAAAAAATAACAGGCACCGGTATCTCAAAATTGTGGCTTTCTTATTTCTAGAACCTTTTTTAAAAAGTCATGGTTTTTGCCTAGACAGATAAGCATGCCAGATTTTTTAAATGACTTATTACTTATTTGAAAGGCAGAGTTAGACACACACACACACACACACACACACACAGAGATAGAGAGAGAGAGAGAGAGAGAGAGAAAGAGAGAGAGATGCCATCTGCTGGTTCACTCCTCAGATGACCCAGATGACTACAATGGCTGTGGCTGGACCAGGACAAAGCCAGGAACCAGGAGCTTCTTCCTGGTCTCCTATGTGGGTGACAGGGGCCCAAAGGCTTGGGGTATCTTCCTTTTCCTTCCCAGGCACAGTAGCAGGAAACTGAATCAGAAGTGAGGCAGCTCGGTCTTGAACTGGCACCCATTCGAGATGCCAGCATTACAGATGGCAGGTTTACCTGGTATGACACAATAACAGCCCAGCATGATGGATTCTTATTTTCAAAAATAAGTACATGGGTTATGCTGAATATCAAGATAGATACAAATGTAAATGAATGAACTGATGAACTATATGCTGATCAGAAAAACTTTCAGTGCTTTACATCTCACTAATAAAAATACTCTTCCCATGGGAAGCAGCAGGTGATGGTTCAAGTATTCAGATCCTTGCCACCCATATGGGAGCCCCAGACTTGGTTCCAGTCTCCTGGATTCAGTATGACCCAGCCCTGATTATAATGAGAATTTGGCAAGTGAACCAGAAGATGGAAGATCTTTGTCTGTCTCTTTGCATTTCAAATAGCATATAGCAATAATACATAAATATGTTCCTTCGAATTTTGTATTCTTGAAATAATATAAATGATTTTGCAAATGATATATTGACATATATTTTTCTTCTCATTGGATTATTTAAGAAAATATTTGGAATGAAATAAATTTCTCCATTCAGCAGCTTTAGTACACAGTCAGATAAACAAGCAAATAATTTTTAATTTGTATTTAAGATATCAACTATAACCATCTGAAAATTATCAAGAGCTTTAAGAATTCAGTGGTTAATTCTTTTCTTCAGAGATCTTAATGTAACTTTGTCTTTCATTTGATGGATTACATGAAAGAAAGTGCAAGATAGAATCTTGTCTTTTATCCCTGTCTCTTTCAACGTCTTGTCTCCATCTCTCTTTAACCAAATTTGTGACCCCAGACTGGCAAGCCATACTCAACAATTTTTAAGATGTAAATTTAGCCATCCAAGGAGATACTGACACAGTGAACTAAATTTGTTAAAAAGACCTGATCCACATTCCTTCGGTCTAATGATTTAAATCCCAAATCAGAAAGTTGAAAGAAAGTAAAACTACTTTTAAATCACTTTGTATTTAGCATCTCTAATAAAAGTGTTTCAGTTTCCATGTTATCTGAGAGAATATGATTTTGCAAATGACATATCTATTCACTCCCCCCTCTCTGTTTCTCTCATCTGATTCCATAATCTTTTTTTTACTACCTTGAATGTTCTCTCTTAGATGTACTAGCATAGAAATTCTAATATACACTTGTAGGTATGAATCCTTAGTGCATGAAGGTGCTCTCACAGTACCTAGCATGAATGAGATTTTTAATAAGTGCTCATTCTACTATGAGTGCCTGCTGTCTTGTTATGCTAATTGACCTACAATTCATGTTGAAAAATCACTGTGTTACCAAGGGTAATCCTTTCTTATTCATAAATTCCTTGAAAATATGATACAGTATTATATTACACCTGTAGCCTTTACTGTTTAATACAAAATTTTCAGAATAAAACATGCCAAAATTAACAGAAATACCATATTGTTTCTCAAAAAAATGTCAATGTATGGACTAATATTCCTCAACTTTATAATATCAACAGAAAAACCTGACAAGAGTCCTAAAAACATTTCTATTTTTTAATGTTCACCAAACAATTTACAAAATCTTGATGTTTCTACTTGTTTTCTCTGGAAAGGCTCTGTGGATACCAATTTCATTTTTCCAGTCTTAACTGCTTCTCAAAAACATCGAAACTCTCCAACCAAGTGACAGTGTGCCAGATGGAAGTCAAAATTGTAATGTGCATTGTGGACTGAACAGTGAAACTTGAAATTAATCACAACTCTACTTGAATAAAATGCATCTATCCAACCAAAAACCACGTAAATATTGTAACTTATATATCCATGGAAACATCAAAGACTTCAGAAAGCTAATACACCTAATGTTGACAACCTAGTATCCAACAAGAATAGAAGAACTTCAAGGATACAATGTTCTTGAAGAAGCACCTCCACAAAAGAGCTGAATTAGCCAAATAACCAGAATACTTTCAGAAGATCTGAGTAGATTTCTGAAGGGCAATAAATGGCTCCATTATTCACCAGTGTGTTTCCTATAGTTTTTCTCTTTCAAATGAATTATGAAAGAATCACAAGTTGATTAATTTTAAACAATGCATAATTTTTTATACTAAGATATATTTTTGTTGAAATAATGCTTATAGAATCAAAAATAAATTTAAATTTTTCTGATGTTTATAATGATAATTCTTTCTCAGTGGCTGTTGTAAGGTCTGCATTATGCATGTTAAAATTCTCAGAGTCTAAATTAAAATAAGAACACAGCTCTTTGTATACAATGCAAGAACCTTTGAATGTTATATTGACAAATCATTCCTGAACTACACCCATTATCTAGGTTTTTTTCATAAATTATTCTTTACATTTTTCATACATATTTTGAAGCCTACAGAATGTGATTATTTTGCCTTGAAATCTATTATTTTAAAGAAATAGTACTTTATATTTATCCACACCTATATCATTAAAGATGTCCATCATTCCTTTGTACAAACCCTGGTTTTCATCTAATACAATTTTATTTTAGCCTGAATAGCTTCTTTTAACACGGTTTGTAGACTAGTTTGCTGGTAACAGATTATCTCAATTCTTTTGGAAATATCTTTGCTTTACCTTCAGCTTTAAAGAATATTTTGCAAGACAGGGAATTCTAACTTGAAAGAGCTTTTGCTTTTCTGTTTTTCAGCACTGACTCACTTTCATTGTTCTGATAAAAAGTCAGCAGTATTTCTCATTTTTGTTTTTCTTTATCTCTGACTGCTTTTAAGAGTTTCTCAATTTAATAATTGATTTTCAATAATATGATTATAATGTACCTTGATGTGTTTTCCCTCTTTTTAATTTTTTGTTTATCTTTATTTTATTTGATAGGCAGAGAAAGAGTGAGAGACAGAGACAGACAAAGGTCTTCCATTCACTGGGTCACTTCTCAAACACCTGCAACAGAGCAGGGGCTGGGCAAGGCCAAACAGGAGGTGAAAACTGTATCTGGTCCTCCTGTGTGGATGGCTGGGACCCAGTACTTGAACCATCATCTTCTGCCTCGTATGCTTGCACTAGCAAGAAGCTGGCTTCAGAAACAAATCTGGGACTTGAACCCAGGGAATCCGACTAGGCATGTGGATGTCCTAATTGGATTTGTAACCACTGTGCCAAATGCGCACACCTGTTTTTCCTAGTGTTTATCTTGATGGGGATTTGTAGAGTTCCTTGGGTCTATAGGTTATATTTTTCATCACAAAGGGGATCATAAGCTTAACAGTCATTAGCAACACTGGAAGCTGCTACAAAGAATGGAAGGAGGCGATATTTCTAGAATTAGATTTATGATAAGGTTTCCTTACAGCAGCAGAGCTCCGTATAGATGAGTAACTGTGGGATAAAGACTGGTTTTTCCACACCTCCTATCCTTAATCTTCTGCCAGCAAATTTCCTATAATCAGAACCATGAAGCAAACGGGCAAGAACAATTAAGGAAATCTCCATACCCGTGACAAAAACAGAGGACAAGAAGCGTGGGTTTTATGGTTCAGTGGAAGATGGCTCATGTGCCTGGACTCCTAAAACCAATGGGGGAGACATAGATGGAATTCCTGGATCCTGGATCTTGGCACAGCTCTAGCCCAGTTCTGAAAGAAATGGCCATTTGGGGGAGAGAAACCGTGAATAGAAAGCTCACTCTATCTCTCCCTCTCCTTCTCTCTCTCCTCTCTGTTTCTCTTTCAAATAAATAATTAATAAATCTTAATTTTAAAAACAAGATAAGAATTGGAGAACTCAGAGGGCTTCCATAGCCTTGGAAACTCATGACTGGAGCATAGGGAGATTACTGATGCCATAGACAGGAGTGTCAATTGGTAAAGTCAACAACAGGAGTCACTGTGCACTTACTCCTCATGTAGGATCTCTGTCCTTAATGTGCTGTGCATTGAGATTTAATGCTATAACGAGTACTCAAACAATATATTTCACTTTGTGTTTCTATGGGGGTGCAAACTGTTGAAATCTTTACTTAATGTATACTAAACTGATCCTCTGTAAAAAAAAAAAAAAAGAAATTATCAACTCCCAACTTGACTCTCACTGGGATTAAACATGACAATAGGTCTGATCTGATTTCATCATCATTTAAAAAAAATCATCTATTATTTTTCACTTTATGCTTCTGTGTGGGAGCAAACTGTTGAAATCCTTACTTAATGTATACTAAGCTGATCTTCTGTATATTAAGATAATCGAAAATGAATCTTGATGTGAATGGAAGGGGAGAGGGAGTGGGAAAGGGGAGGGTTGTGGGTAGGAGGGACGGTATGGGGGGCAAGCCATTGTAATCCATAAGTCGTACTTTGGAAATTTATATTCATTAAATAAAAGTTAAAAAAAAATGCAGAACATGAGAAATTTGGAAACAGAATTCAGAAAAAAAAATCAGCCATTGATCTCATAGCAAGGTATTGGTCTGACCACTTCACTGTTGGATTCAGACCACTCAGAATACCTGGGCATGCACGATTCACATAAATTTGTTCCTATTGCTTTGCCATGTTTTATTACATTTTCTCCAGATCAGCTGTTATTTTTGAAGGCGTTCATTGTTAAAAGATAGTCCAGCTGAAGGTTGTGATGGGTGGCTACAGACAGAAGCAAACACAGGGAAGAATGTAAGACTCAGCAATGAAGACTTTATTGTAGAATAAGAACTAATGGCAGGTAAAGACACTGTAAAATGTTGATAAGAGGTAGTAGGAAAGATATCTACATGAATCTATGTTGTATTTTCTATGCAAATGGGTTTTTTAATTAGTGAGGACAATCAAGTAATTTTTAACCAGAAACCAACATCACAGTAAGAAAGACCCATTATGATGTTTTCAGTATCTATTCTTGGCATCCCTAAAGCCATATGATATTAAACACCTTTATTGTGACATAATTCTTATGTCAAACATTCACTAATTAAGAGTACAATACACTGGCTTTTACTATCTATACAGAATTATGCATCTATCACCACAATTATAAAATATTTGCATTATCCTTAAAAAAACTCCATTCTTTAGCTATTACCTCTTAGATCTCCCAGTTCTAGGAAGATTTGTCTATTCTGGACATTTCACTTAACAGAAATTATACTATATGTAGAAATGCTGTGAAGCATCTAGCTTCTTTCACTTGGCATGAGGTTCACCATGTTTTCCTAGATAGCAATACTCCATTTCTCTTTATCACATTGAGGTCATATGATATTTACTCTATTATTTTTAAAAATCCCATATCATTTGATCTTCCAGTGGATTTATCTGTCTTAATCCTGAGGACTTGGATATCATTAATCGATTACCTTTTAATATTCACACAGGAAAATATAAGCTATTTGAATGTTTGATGGTATGCATTTTCCTGTGTAAAAGAGGATAAAGGGCCAACCTTTTTCTTCTTACTACACGGCACAAACTTCCTTTTTATTTTTTGTTTAATATTTACTATAACATGACAGTAACTCTCATTCAGATAACACTTAATAGTTTATAAAATGTTTCAGTTTATGCAAAATTATAATATGCATCCAAAACTTGTGTTGATCAATAGGTAAGAAAGAACTGGATAATTGAAGCATAAACTATAATTACTGGCCAAAATTATCTAGATAATTTAAAAGTATATTCCAAAATGCCCACCATGATAACCCTAAAAATGACAAGTGCAAAATGCCTGTTTGATTTCATTGATTACACAGAAAATTCCAAACATTGAGACTTTCTGCTCCTATAATTCATTAAAAACAGTAGTTTGAAAAGCCCAGGCCATCTTAATGGCAGTGAAGGGGCATTTCTGTGCCGACAAAGTGGTTCTGCTTCAGAGTTGTGGATGCTAAAAGCCAAAAGAAGTTTTTTCCTTCCCTCGTCATAACATCTCATGAATTTTCTGAGACCTTTTGTACCAAAGTGACACAGAGCATATATTTATATGCAATTTCTGAAGTTTAAAATGTGGTAATTTAATATCAGTACTGAGGGAATACAAACTGCAGAATCAACCAAGTACTACTGGTCCCAGTATTTAAGCTAAAATGAATAATGGTGAAGTCCTTTTAAATCCAAAGGTCAAGTCTTATTTCCTTTCTTAAACCCCTTTTCATCTTTTCTTCAGTGCAGTATCTGTATGGCTTCTTATACCATTATTGAACTGCTCTTTGACCTGATTAACATATCATCTCCATGAAAAACAATGATATGGGAGACCTGTCTGGTTATTATCTCTGCCACCTAGGATTTAAAACATGGCTCTCATTCCCAAACAGATCTGTCCTGGGATATCTGAGGCTTATACGCCTTAGCCACTTCCCCAAACGTGCTGGGCACTAATGTTAGAGATGGACTAAAGCTGCCTTCTTTTTTCACATTTCGTGATTCCTCATGAAGGAATTGCCCCGAGCACTGAATGTCTTATGAAAGAAACAAACAACAAAACCATAAATTTCTAGAACAATAGTACTAAATCTTAGGCTAGACAACAGGATACAGTTATCAAGAAAAAGGTTTATTCCACAGTTTTGGTAAGTATGAAATTGATTTTTACAAAAAGAAAACCAGAAGATTAGTAATTTACTTGTGTTTAGTATACTAATTATGTGTTTGAAAATGAAAGTACTGTCTTTTAAAATTATCATAAAATTAGCATAGGAACTATGAAATTATAAAAAGGCGTATGCCAAACAAATTGTAAGATTGAGCAGGAAACACCATGCCCTCAATAATAATTTAATGAGAGAGCTAATACGACATGTAATTCTATGTTTTAAGAAAACTTAATAGAAAAGCACAGAAGCTGTGTGTCTCCTTTTCTACCCTAACTTTAAGAAAATAACATTACCGCTTAAGTCCAGGATAATTTAAACATTTGGGTTTTTTTAGAAGGCTTTTATTTAATAAATATAAATTTCATAGGTACAGTTTTAGAAATATAGCAGTTCTTCCCCCCATGACTGCCCTCCCACCTCTACTTCCGTCCCATCTCCAACTCCGTCTCCCATACCATTCTTGTTTAACATTCACTTTTAATTATCTTATATACAGACGATCCACTCTATAATAATTAAAGATTCCAACAGTTTGCACTCACACAGACACTAAAGTACTGTTTGAAGACAAGTTTTACCCATCAATTCTTAGTACAACTCATTAAGGATAGAGGTCCTACATGGGGAGTAAGTGCACAGTGACTCCCTGGTTGATTTAACAATTGGCATTCTTTCTTTATGAGGTCAGTGATCACCTCAGGCTCTTGTCATGAGCTGCCAAGGCTATGGAAGCCTTTTGAGTCCACAAACTCCGTCAGTACTTAGAGCCATAAGCAAAGTGGAAATTCTCTCTGCCCTTCAGAAAAAGGTACCTCCTTCTTTGATGACCCCTTCTTTCCACTGGGATCTCACCTACAGAGATCTTTCATGTAGGTCATTTTTTGCCAGTGTCTTGGCTTTCCATGCATGAAATGCTCTCATGGGCTTTTTTTTTTTTTTTTTACAGGCAGAGTGGACAGTGAGAGAGAGAGACAGAGAGAAAGGTCTTCCTTTGCCGTTGGTTCACCCTCCAATGGCCGCCGCAGCCAGCGCACTGCGGCTGGCACACCCAATGATCCGATGGCAGGAGCCAGGTACTTATCCTGGTCTCCCATGGGGTGCAGGGCCCAAGTACTTGGGCCATTCTCCACTGCCCTCCCCGGCCACAGCAGAGAGCTGGCCTGGAAGAGGGGCAACCGGGACAGAATCCGGTGCCCCGACCGGGACTAGAACCCGGTGTGCCGGTGCCGCAAGGCGGAGGATTAGCCTAGTGAGCTGCGGCACTGGCCTCTCATGGGCTTTACAGCTAGATCCAAATGCCTTAAGGGCTGATTCTGAGGCCACAGTGTTGTTTAGCATGTTTGTCATTCTATGAGTCTGTTGTGTGACCTGCTTCCCATGTTGGATCATTCTCTCTTTTTTATTCTATCTATTGTTATTAGCAGACACTTGGTCTTAGTTATGTGATCCTTTTGACACTTATTCCTATCAAATGATCAGTTACACATTTAAAATGATCATTTTAACTAATAAGACAGCATTAGTACCACCCAGTTAAGTGAGATTTGGAGTCCTAACACGATCAACTTATTAGAGAACATAGGAGAAACCCTACAAGATATTGGCACAGGCAAAGATTTCTTGGAAAAGATCCCAGAGGCACAGGCAGCCAAAGCCAAAATTAACAAATGGGATTGTATCAAATTGATAAGTTTCTGTATGGCAAAAGAAACAGTCAGGAAAGTGAAGTGGCAACGGATAGAATTGGGGAAATTATTTGTAAACTATACAACGATAAAGGATTAATAACCAGAATCTAGAAAGAGATCAAGAAACTCCACAACAAAACAAACAACCCACTTAAGAGAAGGGCCAAGAACTTAAACAGACATTTTTCAAAAGAGGAAATCTAAATGGCCAACAGACACATGAAAAATTGTTCAGGATCTAGCCATCAGGGAAACACAATTCAAAACCACAGTGAGGTTTCACCTAACCCCGATTAAAGTGGCTCTCATACAGAAATCAACAAACAACAAATGCTGGTGTGGATGTGGGGAAAAAGGTACCCTAATCCTCTGTTGGTGGGAATGCAAACTGGTAAAGCCAGTGTGGAAGACAGTTTGGAGAATTCTCAGAAATCTGAATATAGTCCTACCACATGACCCAGCCATCCCACTCCTCGGAATTGACCCAAGTGAAATTAAATTGGCAAACAAAAGAGCTATCTGCACCTCTGTGTATTGCAGCTCAATTCACAATAGCTAATACATGGAATCAACCTAAATTCCCATCAACACAAGACTGGATAAATAAATTATGGGATATGTACTCTATGGAATACTACACAGCAGTAAAAAAAATAAATATGGTCATTTGCAACAAAAGGAGAATCTGGAAAACATCATGCTGAGTGAAATAAGCCAGTCCCAAAGGGACAAATATCATATGTTCTCCCTGATCGGTGACAACTAATGAGCACCTAAAAAGAAACCTGTAGAAGTGAAATTGACACTATGAGAAGCAATGACTTTATTAGCTCTTGTACTTACTGTTGAGGAACAGCTCATTATTTTATTATTTTCCTTTTCTACTTTTTAAAAATTTTATTTATTTGACAAATAGAGTTAGATAGTGAGAGAGAGAGACAGACAGAAAGGTCTTCCTTCCATTGGTTCACCCCACAAATGGCCGCCACAGCCAGAGCTACGCTGATCTGAAGCCAGGAGCCAGGGGCTTCCTCCTGGTCTCCCATGCCAGGGCAGGGCCCAAGCACTTGGGCCATCCTCCACTGCCCTCCTGGGCCACAGCAGAGAGCTGGACTAGAAGAGGCGTAACCGGGACTAGAACCCGGAGCCCATATGGGATGCCAGTGCCGCAGATGGAGGATTAACCAAGTGAGCCATGGCGATGGCCCCCCTTTTTTTACTTAATCCATTGGTTGAACGCTTTACTTAACACAGAATTATTCATAGGTGTTTAAATCCAACTGAAAATAGATCCCAGTAAAAAATAAGAGTGGGAATAAGAGAGGGAGGAGATGCACAGGTTAGCACACATTCCCAGGGACTTACCCCTAAGGGTAAAGCTAAACATTTGGTTTAAAAATTATATTTTTCATTGAGTACTTACAATTCAACCTAAATGCTTATTCTGTTGTTAGCTTCCTCTAAAAGTATGATGCAAGTCAGTATGTCTAGTTTAGGGTTATTTTCTCAGATAATTTTGCTCTGAAACATATAAACACCAACACACAAACACAAATACATATATTGCCTGTGTTGTGCAAATATGTGTGTATCCATATGTCCATCTATAACTATGTCTACCTTTATCAAGCTTATTTGCTATTGTATCAACAATATGATATTAATCTATATTTATCCAGCTTATATACTATTGTATCAATAAATAAGAAAACATCCAAGGTTCCTATAATTCTTTTACTCTGTTAGGTGGCTGAGAGTGGAAGAGTGGGAGTCCTCCTTTCATTTTACAAGAGAAGTTTTTCACATCTGTTCTGCCTTTCCTTATAATAAAACCTTGAATCTCAGATGAACAAGGAGCTACTCAGAGTAAGGATCCTGTCAGTTTTCCCCACTTGAATTCAATAACAGTAATATGTACACCTTCCACTCCCCATTATTACAAAATGGAGCTTATTCTTTTCTCTCTCTTTTCTCTTTTCTGTTGGCAGGAACACTCATGGGATGGCAGAGACGAAACAATTCTTTCCTTCGTTCTACAAGATGGAACTGTTTATCTCTGGCTGTGATGTCCAAACCCATGCTGGACTAACTAGAGTTTGTGGTAGACAAATAATATTATCCATTGTCCAGTTCACCAAGACTGGGTAGTCTTTTCCATAAATATTGGGTTGGTCTCCCCTTTACTCTTCATGTTAAAATTCAAGGTCTCCTAATCTCTTATGTGGAGTTTTGTCGTGTGTCGCTCCCCGTCTTCGTGGAGAACGACACTAAACACTGCCTAGGTTTCATATCCGAGTCACGGCACCATTATGCCGCTCCCCGTCTTCGTGGAGGAACGACACAGGACCCTGCGTTGTTCTTTCGTCTGCTCGGCCCTTCCCGGGTTTGCTGCTGGTTCTTCCCGGGTTGGCTACCGTCCCTTCCACCTCCGTGGAAGGGCGGTTCCCCCTGGCCACATTCCCCACTTCCACGGGGGAGCGGCACACCGCCGGCCGGCTCTCTCGGGGGCTGCACAGGTGTTCCTTCAGATAGATGTTCCCCTTAGATGTTCCTGGTGCATGTTGTCTCTCTCCTCCTTTATAGTCCTCTTCCGCCAATCCCAACTCTGCTACCCACATGCCGAGTACGCTGCTCTCCTCCAATCAGGAGTAGGTCCTACAGTTTATTGGTTGAACTGGAGGCAGCTGTGTAGAAGCTGTTTCTCCCTTCTCAGCGCCATATTGTGGGAGAGCAGATGCATAGAATAAGTCTTAATTCCAGTAACTTAGTCTAGTCCGAGTTGCTCCCCACAGTCGTGGACCCCATGGTCTCTCTCTCCTCTAAAGTCTGCGACATGCTGATGCCAAAATAAACTTGCATAAGCCTGGTCTTAGAAAATAAGTAAAAGTCAAAATTCCACAAATCTGTCTTGACCCAGTTGGAAATCTTAGAGACACTGCGTATATCTAGTGAGAAAAACAGGAGGGGGTACCTACTTAAGAGGAGTTACATGCTAAATTCAAGTGACAGATGAGAGGCATGCAAGAGAAGGGAATTCTGAATAAGACGTGATGGATATGTTCCCTGTTATGTTGGAGATATTGCTGGTCTGTCTTGTGTGTGTGTCACACATACAGACACACACAGATACATACCTGAAATAGCTTTTACACAACCTGTCATTGCTGTAAATGACCAGCCACTAAGAATAAGTTTAGGAGATGAGACATAACTAACATCTCCAAATACCTCAAAATACTTCCTTCATAAAGTCATCCTTGATTAACATTCGCATATGAAAATTGTTCTGATACTATATATTCCCTATTATGAATAATCATATGCCTGCTCAAATACTACCTGGAGTTGTTCTAGCTTAGTTCATATGTGTTGATCTCGCTGATGAACAATTAAACCAACAGGAACAATTCTGTACTAATCTACAACAATCACAATATAGCAGTATAAAAACAAAAAAGTGAATAAGCTTAATTGAGTTGGTTATTTGTAACTGATAGAGATTTAAAATATAGGTTTTTTTCTTAAAGACAGAATCCTTGATTAGAGATAATAAATAACTTCATGAGTCTAATTTGGTTTAGATAAGGCAGGATTCTGATTCTTAGCTCTGTGTTTAGTCTATGAGATTTAATCTACCAAATCTAAAATATAAAATGATAAAGTGAAATAAATGATTCTTGTCAGCTTACCTTACAGACAGAACTTAATAGGAATATGTATCACAAATGAGAAATAATAATGGTCCTTCCCTGTTTTTTCACAACTAAATCTCAAGTAAGTAAAAAATCAGACTGAAAAACATGGCCAGTTTCAGAGTGAAGACACAATTGCAGTGCTTTTATAGAAATAAAATACCTTCTGCATTAAGACACATAATATAAAATGAGACAGTATTTGAATTAGAAAAGCTGTGTACCTCATAATTCACAACCTATGTATTATAACTGTACTTTACAACAGAATTTGGCCAAAACATTTTCTTACCAAGTACTATGT